CTGCGAGCGCTCCTCAACCGGCAGCAAAGCAGCCACGGAAAGGAGAAGGTTTGGGACTGCAGGAGGGGAAGGAAAAGGCGGCAGTGTTTCAGGAGGGACAAGAAGGGGGAGCAGACCCGTCACCGAGAGCCCTGCAGCCACCCGTGAAGGACACGGCACACGAGGGCTGCATGGGGACACAGCGGGGAGGACAGGCACCAGCACAGGCACGTCTCCTGTATGTACCCCTAGTAGGGCAGAGCTGAGCTGCCTAGTGAAACTGTTTTTGCAAAAGCTGCTGCTGAGCTGGGACGGAGCTGCCCGCCTCCCCGCGGCTCCGGGACCCCCGTGCCGTGCGGCGATGCCTCTTGCCCCAGCCACCCAGCAGCAGTTGCTTTATATAAACCCGTGCGCTGCTCCGCGGGGACTGCCGGGGAAACGCAGGCACCGGTTCACCTGGAGACACCGTCACTTCGGCGCCTGAATAATCCGCAGGCCAAATTAGCGAGATGTTGGCACCTCTGGTTCCCCTGGCAACATACAGATCCAGCCCATACCGCTTGCGCTGCCCTTCTCAAAAGCTCCTGCAAAGGTCTCAGTACGTAATGTTCGTACTGAAAGACCGTTCGGTACAAGAACATTAACAAGATCTCTCTGCCTGGACACCTAATTCCCGAAACCCCCAGGAACTGCGGCTCCTGGGACCGCCAGCGGCTCGCTGCCTGCGGCTGGGATTGCTGCAGGGCCCAAATGCGCACACACACGTGCACACACGTGCACACACACATGTGCACACACGTGCACACACACGTGCACACACACGTGCAGGCTTGCACACAGACACACGCATGCACACGAGCCAGACCCACTGTGCCCCCCCTCCCCAGGCCTCCCTGGCTTAGCAGCCTTAGCAAGCTGCTCTAGAAAAGGCTTTGGGTGATCTCAGGGCAGTTAGCATTAGCGAGCTGAGCGCTCGGCGGCTACAACCGCAATGCGGGACGACACTGCTAAGCCTCAGTTTTGAGCCGCCCTCACGATTTTGGCGGTCAGATTCCCTTCGACAAAGCCCGATTCAAATCGCCGTCGTGATTCGCCCACAGCGTTGCTGCACTTTAGGTTAAAAGCGCCCGATAGTCCCGAGTCAGGAGCCATTAAAACACGATGTTCGTCTCCGGCTGCAGCTTTGCTCGGTGCCCTCTCGCTGCCGCCCTGCGACGCGGGAGCCGGGAGCTCCTGCGCCCGCTGCTGCGGGGAAAGCG